CTCGTGGGAGCTTCTCCATCACCAAGTGTAGTACAGCGGAGATGAATATTGAAAAGAGAGTTGGTGCAATTACACATCCCTGCTCAGGTATATTAAGGCCGGGGTCAAATCCGGAAAAATACCCCCAACGAAGTTAAAAATGAAATCGAGGCAACTAATTTGCATATTTATTTTGGGAGAAAAAACATGGCGGCCGGGTTCACGAAAAAGCTTCGAATTCTTGCTAGRTATTGGTGATTTCTCGTATTTGTAAACGATATTCAATGGGAACATTTAATAAGGTGAGTAGTACAAGGTCATCTCATTCTAACAATTCATAATTTGTCTCACTTTTAATCAATTTTATAAACATTTTTCATTAATAACTTGTCAGAAACGTCACAGTAAATAGGCTATTTTATGCATCCATGTACACCTACAGCTTTTACCAAACTTAAGATATAGATATAAAAGCTTATATACATAATTTTAGCTCAAACGGAAAATATATAGGTTTTTGTGCAACATTRACTCGATTACATACAAAKAGGAGCAATTTTACGATAATTTTATACGATATAAAGTTATTTGAACTGAAGCTATTTTTTACAACCTTAAGACCTAAGACTTACTATTTTTTCAACAATTAATTTCTACAAAAGCTCACAAATCCTTAACTTTCAAAGTCTTATCTTCCATTCTTTTAGCAAAGCGTCTGCATATTTAATTTTCTTCAACAAAGTAGATGCAATGGGATTTTTCTTCATTTGGTCCATGGAAACCATTGAAAAGTCATTGTTTAGATAGTGATTTGTTTCCCAGTCTTTTAGTTCTTTCTTCAGTTTGGTTCGCTCAGCTAAAACTCGTGACTGGATTGTGGCTAGTTTAGAGTTAAATGATATTAATAGGTCTTTGTTTCGTGGAGACTGTTTTAATTTATATCTAGCAGAATCAAACTCTATTAACTCATTTGTATTTCCCAGGACAAAYCCTACTGTATTGCCAAGACGAGTTTTTATGATGGTCTTCTGAAGGAGTGTTTGACAACCTTGAACAGGYTCCTGAGTGGCTTCTTGGAGAACATCGGAAGAGGTAAATAAGCAGGAGCTGGCAACAGACACCTGTCCAGTTGATTCAGGAACATCTAGATTGCTTGCATGTGTTTTTAGCATGCAATCCTCACCTGACTCACCTGACTCAGCGACAAGTGTGATGTTTAAAACTTGCTCTTCCTCTTTATTATCCAAACTGTCATCCATTTCTTTTTCTTGTTGCCTTGGATTTGGAGGGTCATCAATTCTGTTGTGGACAGAGGGGTCATTAGGCTGGACAACATCCTGTCTGAACTTATCAGTTGTCAGTTGTTGCACCTTTCCTTCGGCATCAGGCAAGTAAAGATGATGAAGTGGCAGCTTAATGTTGTTCCTTGGCTCAAGACATTCATTCCAGCAGCAAGATAGATAAAACTCTTCTTTTTTGAAGTCACTGGATCTGAAGTGGTGTAGAACTGGTCCCTGCTCTCTTTCTCCAGGTTCTCCTTCAGCATCAAAGAATATCACACTGTTGTTACTTGTATCTCTTGTCCACCACACTCCTTCACCAGGCAAAAGAAAATCGCTGATCCTTTCTAGATGAGCTTGATACCATTTGGAGTACTTCTTGCCTTTGAGAATATAGCTTGGGATTATGGTGTTAGGAAACTTGGGCAGGGTTGATGAAATCTTGGATATCTTACCAGATTGTATGACAAGTGGAATTGAGTCATCAAAATTGCCAATCTTCTCTTCAGCTTGTAATCTTAAAAAGATATTGCCAATGATGTGACCAGGCCTGTTGCAAGATGTTGTCTGAGTAATGCTCTTAATGGTACTGAACATTCTTTCCTCGTCTTCTGCATTGGATGAAGGACCTGATATCAGACGAAGTTGGATAGGTRCATGAGAGACAAGATTGTGAAGATATTTTCCATACAATTTTCTGGCATTTAGGGCAATAGGAGAGGATCCAAACATAATGTCACACATAACAAAGTGTAAAAAGCTGYAGTTGTGGTAGCGTAGGATAAGTCTGGGGCACCTCTTGCTGTCATTAGAGTATAGGATTGCTTGCATTTCTACTAATGTGTCTAAAAGAGATTGAACAGATTCTGATACATGTCCTCTAAGCWGTTGAGCAAAAATTATYAAGGCAGCCCGATGATCGGTGGCTCTTTTAACTTCCTTGTCCCCAAGAGTAAGATCTAATAATTCTTGAAACCTTACTTTTTGCTCTTTGGTGAGATGGCATGGGAGTTCTTCTATTATATTTGATATGTGATTAGCAATATCGTGCATTGGTTCACATGCTAGTGCTTCATATGAAGAAAGATTTATTTTCTCCAGTTGTGCAGATGGGGATAAGAAAAGAAGAGCAGGTACTCTCTGTACACCTTTCAGCTCACTAATAAGATCCTTTTYATACTTTGACTTCAGATCGTCATCTTTGTACAGAAGGCTTCTTCCTCTCAGTTCTCTCTTAAGATCCTCCTTTTTCAGCTTTTCAAATGGTTTTGGACTCTGGTTCAGGGAGCCATTTTTCCCTTCTGGGCCCTTTAAAACAATTTTTTGTCTGTCTAGGAATGACACATATTTGCACCTAAAGAAATGTTCAGGATCATCACTCTGTATGGCATGCATACCACATGAAGAACAGAAATAGTGGCCTCCTTTCTGTTGTCCAACCTCAAAAGCAACTGCTGGACCATCACCTTTAAAATATCTCATGGTGTCTGTAATTGTAATTCCAGGACTCAATTCCACTTTGTTGGAAAGGTCTTGTAAGCATTCACACCTTGTCTCACAATGACGTGAACCCTCGTGGGCTCAAAATCGGTCAGCTATATTTATCGTCACACATATGTGACGTTGGGAGAAAAAGGGTTAATAAATTTCCTCATCTTCCTAGAAAATTTTAATATTTTAAAAGGGATTACTCAAGGCTTGATAATGACAAACTCTTAGGTGATTTTCAAAAATTGACAATGAACTTACAAAATACTCACTGCCTCTTCTATGTTTGATGCATTTTATTCCAAGATTTATCATATCGTTGATCAATTAAACAACTGGCAAAGCCCTGGATCACCCAGGGAATTCGGAAATCAATTAAATCAATCAAAAAAACAAATTCTATAAAAAAAAGTCTCAAAATCCCGATCATTGTATTATCATGAGAAGTACAAACAGTATAAAAACAAATTAAACAATGTTATCAAACTTAGCAAAAAGTCTTATTACAGTGACTATTTTACTAAAACTTGATCTAACATAAAAAACATATCGAAGGGAAAAAGATCTATTGTCTCGCTCAAGCCCTTGGATAATTCCATTCCTTCTAAAGTGTTCATTGAAGACACAGAACTCAAAGATAGTAAACTTATAGCTAATGCTTTCAATTATTTTTTCACTAATGTAGGTCCTAACCTGTCTAATGCTATTCCTGACACTAACATTTCACCTTTGTCCTATATGTCAAATACACTTACTAGTCAGTTAGTCCTTGAGAAAGTCAGTACTCAGGAGATTTCTGACATTATACAAAAACTCAACCCTCCCAAATCTACTGGACCTTTCAGTATCCCGACTAAAATTCTTTTAGTTATAAGAGATCTCATTTTACATCCTTTACAAACTATATTCAATCTCTCGTTTGAAAGTTGTGTAGTACCTAACAAGTTTAAAACTTCTGTGATTCCAATCCATAAAAGTGGGTCAGAACTTATTGTAAATAATTATAGACCTATATCTCTTCCATCTGTTTTTAGCCGTATTTTAGAAAGGCTTATGTTTTCCAGACTTCCAATTTACTGACAATAATAAAATGTTGTACAATAAGCAATTTGGTTTTCCACAAAACCACACTACATTCCATTCCATTATATTTATTACAGATTTGGTTCAAAAAGCAATTGATGACGGCACTTACTCATGTGGTTTATATCTTGACCTAAATAAAGCTTTTGATGTAGTCAATCATAATATCTTACTAAAAAAAGTCTATCATTATGGCTTGAGAGATAATTTGTATGATTGGTTTACCTCCTACTTCACTGGGAGAAACCAATACTGACTCTGCCATCATGAACATTACAACAGGCATGCCTCAAGGGTCTGTGCTTGGCCCAATCTTATTCTTACTGTGTATTAGTGATTTTCATTCACCTCTAATGTACTAAACGTCCACTTATTCGCTGATGATGCAAACCTTTTCTACTCGAACAAAATGCTTGATGTACTCGGGTCTACCCTTAATAATGAATTCATACATTTAAAAAAAAACTGGTTACAAGCAAATACACTCTCTTTAAATGTCGGAAAATTAAACTTTGTTATTTCCATCCTCCTTAAAAGAAAATCTCTTTCAAGTTAAAGTTGTATTTGTGCAACAACCTCCTCAAACAAGGAATTAATATCAAATACCTAGGGGTCTTCTTTGATGAAAATCTAAACTGAAAACATCACGTTTCTTATATTGGTAGCAAAATAAAACGTGGTATAGGAATGATTTCTAAATTGCGTCACCTTGTCCCTACAAGAATATTTGTTAGTCTCTATTATTCTCTAATATGTCCCTATCTTATTTATGGAGTAGTAGCGTGGGGCAATACCTATGAAACTACTGTGAATCCTCTCTTCATACTTCAAAAAAGAGCTGTCACACATAACATTTGCCAAATTTAGAGATCACCCCAACCCACTTTTTGTTCTTAAGTTCAATGCCTTAATTAGATTTCAAACTGCCATTTTCAGGCATGATTTTCACCACAGCAATTGTGAGATCTAGTAGATAAAGCCGCCATTGTGGTTGTGACTCTGTTTAATATGCGAAATTCCATACAAAGACCGCTGACCTAACATATAACTATCTTAATTATGTCACATCTCCCTTTCCATATAACGTTAAAGTGGGGCTATAAAGTGTCAGTATAAGAGTGTTCCTAAAGGGATAACATCAAATAACAACAAATGGATCTGCTTATAAGTCTAGTCTGTTTGGAGCTCTAACAGCTTTTCCACTGCGGGTGACGTATGGGCCCACTTCCGTGCCACTCCTTTCCGGGGGGGACCAGGTTGTATGCTGCTTGAGCTGCGCTGTTCACTGCTTTGGGATGATGGCATTGGTGTCTGTGCTTGTCCTCTGGTAGGTGGTTGTTGTTCCTTCTCATTCTCTTCAGATGTACTCTCCTCTTCGTCCTGTCCTCCTTCGTCAGTTCTCCTGAAAGAACACCGAGCGTCCTTGTTGGCATTGTCAGTTGCTCTCCTTATGTGTCGCCGGTTGCGACGATATTTTCGTTTCCTGCTTCCACAACATATGACCTGGGCATGGTATGGTGTTCGACCACTACAGCTGAGGTCCACTTCTTGGTCCCTGGGTATGGAGCAATTCTGACTTGTTCTCCTGCCTGCAGTGGTGTTAGTTCTCTGGCTTCTGATTTGTCATGATAGTACTTCTGTTTGGCCTTTTCTATGGTGAGATAGGGTCTCACTTCGTGTGAGCTGTATGGGGTTGGTCTGAGTATGGCTGATGTTGTTGGAAGGACATTTCGAGGTCGCCCTCCTATCAGTAGCTGAGCGGGTGATAGGTTGAGTCCTTCCAGGGGTGTAGTCCGGTAATCCAGTAGGGCCAAGTGCTTGTCAGTTGCTTTCTTCCATAAATGCTTTACTGTCTGTACAGCTCTCTGTGCTTCACCATTGGAGCTTTGGAAGTGGGGACTTTGGAAGTGGGGATTCCATATTCCTTGCAAAACCTGGAGAACTCTGCTAACATGTATTGGCTGTCACAGTCGCTTCTTTGAACTGTGGGAATTCCATGTCTGCTGAATTGTGATTTGAGTGCTTCAATCACTGATCTGCTTGTAGTGTTTTGTAGCAAGTCTACTTCTATGTATTTGGAGTAGTAATCCACTGACAGCAAGTATGTTCTGTGATCATACTCGAACAGATCAGTACCAACTTCTGAGAAGTGGAGGTCTGGTGGCGCTTTACTTGCTAGCGGTTCTGACGGAAGGCTCTTCTGAAAATCAGCGCACTTTCCACAGTTCTTGATAGTTTGCTCTATGTCTGCATTCATTCCCGGCCAGTACAGGACTTCACGAGCACGCTGTTTGCACTTCACCATTCCTAGATGTGACTTGTGGATCAACTTGAGCATCGATTGTTGCATGCTGGGGATAACTAACCTCATTCCTTTGTAGACTAACCCGTCGAGAACAGCTAGTTCACTTCTTGAGTCCTAGAAGGGGCAGACTGCTAGGGGTAAGTTTCCCTTTGTGTCCAGCAATCCCTTGTGAATAATATATTGTAGTTCCTTGAGCTCTCTTTCAGTGCAATCCTGCAGTTCCTCGCATTTGACCTTGGTTATCGACACAAAGTCAATGGCACTCACTTGTTCTAGGTCAATGTCCTCAGGTTGCTGCTCAGCCAAACAGGCTCTCTAGAGGGTGTCCGGTGCGGTCATTTCTTTTCCCGGTTTGTAGTGGACAATCAGATCGTACCACTGAAGATTCAGCAGCATCCTCTGTAGACGCATCGGGGCTGCTAGGAGGGGTTTCTTGAATATCTGCTCCAGCGGTCGGTGTTCATTGTAGACTGTGGTCTCCTTGCTGAAGATGTAGTAGTGGAACTTCTTGCACGCATCTACTATCGAGAGCATTTCTTTTTCGATCTGAGTATAGCGGGTTTCTGTGTCCGTCATTGCTCGCGAAGTGTAGGCTACTGGTTGCCCGTCTTGCATCAGCACTGCTCCCAAGCCGCTTTGACTGGCATCACAGTGTATTTCTACTGGCTTGCTAGCATCATATTATTTCAGCACAGGGGGCTCTGCACATTGTTGTTTCAGGGCTGTAAAGGCTGTTTCCTGTTCAGCTTGCCACTGGAAGGGCACACCATCTTTGAGTATGCTTCGTAAGGGAGTAATGATTTCACTTAGGTCTTTGATGAACTTTCCGATATAAGTCACTAGTCCTAGGAACCACTTGACATCTTCTTTGCTTTGGTGTCTGGGCATGTCCTTGATTGCCTCTACTTTCGCTGGGTCTGGACAGAGTCCTTCTAGAGTTAAAATATGTCCGACGTACGGAACCTGAGGCTGTCTGATCTTGCACTTGTCCATGTTTAGCTTCAGATTGTAGCTGGTGGCTCTCTGTATTTCCTGCTTCAGTATTTCATCATGTTCTACGTCACTTCCGGCTACTAGGATGTCATCAACAATTGCATATGCCCCTTGTATTCCTCCTACCATTTGCTCCATGATGCGCCATGCGCGCAGTCTGAGCCATCTATACCGTCCTATTGGGGTGTTGAATGTGGTCAGAAGTGATGATTCTTCGTCTAATCTGATCTGGTGGAATCCACTTTTTGCATCAAGAATGGAAAACACTTTGGCATCTGGAATTTCTGCTACTACTTCCTCTATTGTTCTCATGGTATAGTGTTCGCGTTTAATTGCTTCGTTCAAGTCCCGGGGATCGATGCAGATACGGATCTTGTCGTTTCGAAGAGTTACTACCATAGAACTGACCCACTCTGTTGGTTGCTCAACCTTTGCAATTATTTCATCTTTTTCCATTTGTCGTAGCTTGTCAATGGTTCTTTCTTTTAGCGATGCTGATAGACGTCTGGCTGGATGTACTACTCCTTTGGCGTTGGGGTCTGTCTTGATGGTATAAGTTCCTGGTAGGGTTCCTGTTGTTTGTGCAATTTCTGGGTATTCCTCTAGTCCCGGTGCAGTATCATTGCTAGTAGTCAGATGGCTTGGGTCCTCTGTGCTGCTTGATGATATCCTGGTTATTAGTTCCAGTGGCTCTGCAGCATCTCCTGATAGTATGTTTTCTTGTATGAGGTCTACTATCTGGAAGCTTGTTTCAATCGTGTAGTCCTTGCACTTTACTAGCAGTGTTACCCTAGCAACGGGTTTGATCTGATGGTTCGAAAAGGTTCGAAATACCTTTGCAGACTGGGTGAGTTCACCTTGGTGCTTAATTTTCTGGTAGTCTGCTAGTGTAAGGGTGTTACAATGGGCCCCAGTGTCAATCCTGAACATTAGTTTGGTCTTCAGCACTTGCGTGGTGGCTGTCCACTTGTCATTGGGCTTGCTCTTGCGTGGTTGGGCTGCCTTGATTTCTAGAATATCGGAGGATTCTTCTGGGTCAGAGGTGATTCTTATCGAGTCCATGTTAGCCTCATTTACCACACCTGTTGCACTGACTTGTGTCTTCCTTGGTCGGATTTTCTTTCTTTCCGCTTCTCTGTTTCTTTTGTGCTGTTTTGTTCCATCCCAGCGCCGAGACTTGCGGGTCCTCATCACGTACGAGGCTCATCTGTTGTTGGGACAGTCCGAACTGTTGTCCAATAGCTATCGCTTTCCCCAGCGTTAGCTCTTCTCCTTTGTCTAACAGTTTTTCTTGTAACTTCCTTTGGTATACACCTTCGATGATGGTGTCTATCAGTATGTCGTCCGCATCATGGTACTCGCAGTCCATCAATATAAGCCTCAGGTCTTTGACAAAATTGTCGAAGGACTCTTCTGCTGTTTGTTTCCTCATTCTTAACTTGTGCCGAGCTATTTGCTTGTTCTTTCGCGGTCGAGTGTAGTTTTCAAACTTCTCAAGTACTTTTATTGGTTTATCTTTCTCTCCGTCGTTCCAAAAGTTGACGTTTGTCATTTTCAGAATTTGTTTGGATTCGTTCCGGATGGCTTCGTTTTAGCGTGAATTTGTCTTGGGTTCTGACACCATGTGAGATCTAGTAGATCAAGCCGCCATTGTGGTTGTGACTCTGTTTAATATGCAAAATTCCATACAGAGACCGCTGACCTAACATATAACTATCTTATCATATCACAGCGATCTTCCTAATGTTTTCAACTCATTTTTTCCATGCGTCAATAGTAGACACAGTTATAACACAAGACTTGAAGCCAATTCAAACTGTTCTTTACCATATGCAACAAATAATTATGGTTTATTCAATGTTAGCTTTGCTGCTACAAAATATTGGAATGTTTTGAGTGAATATTTTAAAGAACTCCAATAAGAAAAATTTCTAGAAAAAAATTTTCAATGAGATAATTTTCTCTTATAAACAAGATAATCTATTATAATTCTTTTACTTGCATCGTTATGTAAAAGAAGTAATTAAGCTTTTTTTGCTCACCTTAACCAGTTTTCAAGTCTGTTTTATAGTCTTGATTATGATGTATATGTGTGCGTTTCTGTGTATATGTGTTTATGGTGTGTTCGTGTGTATGTGTGTATATAAGCGTGTATGTATGTGAGTGTGTATGTCTGTGTGTATGCGTGTATGTATGTATGTGTGTAGTTGTGTGTGTATGTGTTTAGTGATGTGTGTGAATTAGTGTGCTGTGTGTTTGTGTGTATGTCTGTGCAGTGTGTGTGTATGTGCGTATGTATGTTCATGTGTATGTGTGTAATGTATTTGTGTATGTGTGTGTATGAGTGTATGTATATGTGTGTGTATGTGTGTAGTCATGTGTGTGTATGGGTGTGAATGTGTTTATGTGTGTGCATGTCAGTATGTCTGTATGTGTGTATGTGTATGTATGTGTGTGTGTGTGTGTGTGTGTGTGTGTACTGTGTGCTGTATGATGGTATGTGTGTAATGTATTTGTGTATGTGTATGTAAATGTGTGTGTATGTGTGTAGTCATGTGTGTGTATGGGTGTGAATGTGTGTGGTGTATGTCAGTATATCTGTATGTTTGTATGTGTGTATGTATATGTGTGTGTATGGGTGTGAATGTGTGTATGTGTGTATGTCAGTATGTCTGTTTGTATGTATATGTGTGTAAATGTGTGTGCATGTGTGAGTGTTTATGTGTGTATGTATTAGTGTGTGTGTACTGTGTGCTGTGTGTTTGTGTGTATGTGTGTATGTGTGTGCTATGTAAGGGTGTATGTGTGAGAATGTGTGTTTGTGTGTATGTGTGTGTGGTGTTTATGTGGGTATGTATGTATAGAACACCACCACTGTCTTGGGATAAAGACGTGATATGATATAATGTTCTTTTTCCATTATATAAGGTCGTTAGACCATTATTTTAGGGAGATACACCATTATATGCGGTGGACACAATATTATGTCAGGTTGACACGCCATTATATTCCGTGGACACAACATTACATTCGGTGGACACCACATTATATTCGATCGAGACAACATTATATTCGGTGGACAAAACGTTATATTCGGTGGACACGATATTATATGAACACGATATTATATGAACACGACATTATATGAACACGACATTATATGAACACGGCATTATACGAACACGGCATTATACGAACACGGCATTATATGAACACGGCATTTATTATATATAGGAGACAATAAATATTAAAATAAAATAAAATAAAATAAAACACATACACCAGTTTGGGGGTTTGAATGGCTTTATTAGCCTAAAAGATCGCACGTAAACATAAACCCCCCAATACCTCCAAACAAGTGGTATGTGTATTAAAGATGACTTAAACTAATTTACTAACTTATGCAGTTAACACTGATGTTTATATATATAAGTTTTGTTTGTTTGTTTTTTAATTTTTATTATTATTTTTGTTTTATGGTATGTTATTCGCCATAGTTCGAATGGCGTATAGTCTATCGATAAACGATTTATCTAGGTATCGTTCGTAAACGTTCGTTTTCCAGTCGCCTTGGGCTTGTATTAGGTTAAACGGGACTCCGGCGCGCATAGCAAAGGTTGCCCCTCCACGCCGGAAGGAGTGTCCAGAGTATTTGTCAGACGGGTGGCCTGCGGTGGTTAAGGTATGCTTGAGCTTCGATGTAAATGAATTGYAAGTGTACGGTTGCAGGTTTTGTGCACTGGTTGAATACACAAAGGCCGGACCGTCCGGATCTGCGGTTGGTGTTGTACTGAAAGCTTGTTGAAGAGCAGTTACCGGGCATAAATCCGCTGACTTTTGCAGTTTTGGAATCGGTATAAGAAGTTTGCGTTGTTTAAATTGAACAGTCTTTGACCATCGTACTACAAGGATGGCTCCCCAGCTGAAAAGTAGGATATCTTTTCGTCGTAGGTGAATATCTTTGTTAAAACCCGCAACCGAGGGCGGCAAAAGGCTAGATTTTCTGAAGAAACTGAAAACAGCCASTAAGCAGGCGGCCCAGAATGTCAGATCAGGAGAGTGTTCTAAATTGAGTTGTTCTCTTATGTCCCTTAGGACTGACGGGGTGATCGGGAGCTTTTGGTTTATTGGTCGTCCACTGTGACGTTTTATGCCGCGTAGCACCATAGTGTATCGCCAGTTAAGGAGTGGATGTTCGAGAGGATTTGGCAGGCCGTGTTGGAGATGAAGAAGGCGAATAACGTTTAATTAGTTTGGAATGCTGTTCGGTGATAGTATTCGCGCAAGGAAGGCAATGTATCGTAGGACAGTGTCGTGAGTACACGGAACTATTTTGTAGCCAAAGTACACACAGAAGCGGATATAGGCTCTAATTTGAGACTTGTAGGTGGACTGTGTCGTCTTAGCGAATGATTGATTCCTGTAGAACTTTATCTCGTCGTCTAGGAGAGTTTCTTGAAAAGAAGTTGAGTGTGCTGGGGAGGTAGAGAGGAAAGCGCACTAGTCGTAATGTGATTTTGTGGCGATGAAGTCGTAATTGTTTCCGTGGTTATAAGATTGCTAAGTTTGTTGATAACGTGCTTATCATGCACACGTGATAGCGCAACTGTATTTTGTTGAGAGGTCAAGTAGCGGGCAATTAATCGGAAGTTGTGACGTGCAGTGTTCCAAAACATTTCTCTTAGCCATGCCATCGATGTTTTACATCGAATTGTGCCTTTGTTTGATAGCATACATTGTTGAGGTATTGTCAGTATACACAACAATCCATTTCCGTCGCATGTGAGTGTGCCAGCGCCGCAGCGAAATAAGAATCGTGAAAAGTTCGAGTTTGTTGATATGGGCGTCTTTGTAAGCAGGGATAATCGACCGCCCAGTTAGTGTAAAACCAGTCAGTATGAAAATGAGCTGCTCCACCGCTTAAGCAGGCATCGGTGGAAAATGTTTCAATCTGTGTAGGCTCAGAGTTTACGAAAAAAAGTTATTCCATTAAACGTGTCCATGAAATCGGTCCACCATTTCAAATCGTCATGCATCGACTGGGTTATTCGCTTGTGGTGAAGAGGTCGCTTGAGCGTACTTATGTGATCGATTATTCGCCGTAAAAACGTACGGCCTCCGTATACTACTCTCGCTGCAAAGTTTAGTTTTCCCGCGAGGGATTGCATTTCGCGTTTGTCCATCTTCGATTGCTCGCTCGCTGCCTGTAAGGCTGATTTATCTCGCTTAGTTTTGTGTCGGGCAGAATGAGTTGCCTTTTTGCGCTGTTAATTTCAATTCCTAGGTAAATTAGCGATTGTGTCGGGGCGGTTACTTTGTTCCAGTTGATTGAGAAGCCAAGACGTTGAAGGAGTGATAAAACCACCCTGTAGGCTTTCCAACATTCAGGCTCTGTATCAGCAATGATAAGAAAATCGTCTAAATATGCTAGTGTGGTGTCATTGCGGCGTAACATCATGCGTGTGATACGGTGAAAAATGCCAGGCGACTGCGAAGCACCGAAAGGCAATTTGGTGTCGATGAGATATGTGGGTTGAGAGTCGCCTGAGAAAGTCCATTTCAACCCCGTCGCAGCATAGTTTGATGGATGAATGGGAATGTGGCGATAAGCGCTTTTTAAATCAACTTTGGCTCCAGGTTTGATAAGTTTGCACGCTCGTTCGACAGTTTCCTAGGCATAATGTTCGCACGTGGCATATGAGTTTACGCTGGCGCCTTCGGGGCGGCTACAATCGTGAATTAAACGCACGTTATTGCTGTCTTTCTTGGGGATTGCTCCCAAGGCACTAATTATTGTTGGTTTAGTTTGAGTTATTACATAGTTCCCTTGCTCAATTTCGCTTGTTATTTGTTGCTCAACTTTGTCCTTGATAGCGCTGTCCGTTGCTGATTTGCAAGTTAGGTAAGCGATTATGCTGAGCTGTTCGCTAAGAGTGATGTTACACGTGTCATGAACATCCTTATGATAATGCTGTCTACAGTCCGGGATTCGCTCCAGATCTGGAGTGCAGTGCCACGTCACGTTTCTATTGTTTTATGCTTCGATGTAAACATTGCAGTCACGTGACATAAGAGCTCCTCAAAATCCAATATGGCGGACGAGTACAAGTGAACGACCGATATCTTATACTTTTTACGGCTCTGAAGGTTTATCAAATGCTGCAAATGAATGTAAGAGCAATTTTTAATTAAATAATGCTGGAAATCTACTAATATTTTTAAAAAGGTCCAGTATTTGTCTAAAATATAGTCAAACTGTAGGTCCCGGTTTTTCGAAGATCTCTCTCTTAATACTTTATTCTTATAAATCTTTTAGACAATCAATTTAATTTACAGCTTTCTTGAAAACTTTCCCTTTTACACTGTACTATTCTACTTTTTTGTAACATTTAACAAATAATAACATGCAATAAACATGAAAATCATTGTTGCGTCATCGTCAGATGTAAATATATTCTTTTCTAATTCAATCATCAGATCATGCTAAATATAATATGACCAAATATATATGCTTAAACGTAATTCAACTGCTAGGTACAGAGCAAGTGATTATTCCAACTGCATGACATTTTTGTTAATTGGGCAGCATCCATAACCTATCTGTTTTGAAGAAATCAGTAGACAAGATAAAACATTTAAGACATGGTTATGCTATGTTTCTACCACCAGTTGGTCACTTTCGTTTGCTCTGTTCCTTATACTGTATATAAAATTGCATGGCTACCCATTCTCAAATTGGAAGTTCCAGACAGTGTTACTGCTGGGGTATTTATTACATATTATTTCTTCTGTGGATATTTTATTTATCAAGGGAACTGAACTTTTACTTTAATTATACAAACAATTAACAGCCATAGCCTATAGACCCTATATAGCCTATAGAACCTATAGAGTCCCTAGAGGAATTGTTCTGGGGGACAAAACAATTGATTTTTTTGCATAAGAAAAGACAGCCTGTTGTTTTGTCCCCAGAACAATTCCTCTAGGAATTCAATGCAAGGGGTCTGTAAACTATTGTTCCACATGATATGGAAATACACGAACACAAAGAATCATATTCTCCAGAGATTTAAATTGTATGGAGACGTACATAGCTACACATTAGCTGATTTGGTCTATTGTTGTATAACTCAACATTAAAACCCCATGTTGAGAGGGTTTAAGCAAACGATATTTATTGGATAGAGTAGTTTTCATAAAACCCTGAAACAGATACCAAACTGATACCCATTAGTAGACCTTAATTCCTTTAATTACATTTAATGCTTGTATATATTTAACAAGTTTATGAAAACCACTCTACTATAATTGAAAATATGTAGAAGTAAAATTTTCTTTAGTTTGTTTCTGCTGTTTTAATTTTGGTATACTCATTAGTATGTGTTAAACAGTAGTAATGTTAATCATGTAACACTCACTAGTGATGATAAATACTTATAGCTACTCTTAAACATAACTAGCGATAACTAGCGGTACAGATAGTCCTAGTGTGGGCTGTTAGTGTTTTAATAAAAAATGATTGAATAGAATTGTAATTTGTACACCTTAACAGTAAAACAATTACTGATGCTTCAGATGTAAATAATGTCAGAAGCCTCAGTTTTATCAGTCCGGGATTCGCTCCAGATCTGGAGAGTGGTCGTGACGTCACGTTTCTATTGTTTTCGACGACAAGGTCGGAAATTGCTGTGTAAGCGGGTCGACTTAGTTCTTTGGGAATTTTTATCTATTTTCATTGAGTAGAGACTGGATTTTGATTGATAGTACTATCTAAAATTTAAGTGCGAGATGAAGACGACGGTAAAAGTTTTACCGCACGGACTTGGCTTGAGCGCCATAACAGTGTTTACAGATTCGGTAAGTAATGGAATGTACATTTTTTTTGAAAGTTAACGGATTTTTCCCAGCTCAAAAATAATTTTCACTGAAAATTTTATAGACATAGATTATTAGTTGGAGGTGGTTTGGAGGTGGTAACCCTCCCAGATTTTCGGTAACCCTCGTGAGAAATTTTAGTTGCTAAACTAGAGTCGGGTACGTGACAAGTTAGCTTGTAATATCATCTGATCATTGTAATCATCACGTCTTTCCCGTGTATCAAAAACCGAAGCTCAATGTCATAATCACATTAGCATTTAATAGATGTGAATTTTGATCTACACGATGGATGAGCATAACTTTTTTTGTTAGAGATGTAGAATCTGTGGATGTAGCATAACGACAATAACAGAAAATGTCCAGCTATCAATCTCAAAGTTGAAATTGAGTCCGCATGGTCATTGAACGTGTCTTTGGATTCTCCAACGACTCATCCGAGGTTTCTTTGTTTGAAAATATCGGTTAATATCCGTTAAAGCAAAGCATGAGCTAGACATGAAAAAAAAGTTACAACACAAAAGTCGTTCCAATCGAGTGGAAGCCGCATACTACTTTTGAAGATTGTGAGACATGTCAGATGGAATCGATTCCAGCAAAGAGAAGAAAACCAGGAAGACCTTCGAAGATCAAGAAAAAGAAATCTAACCAGAAAGAGCATACGAAAGAATCTGGCCCTTCGGAAACAGCCGAGTGAAAAACAGACACTGCTTTGTCGGATGAGGAGGATGATTATCAAACATTATTCTACACAATTGATATGCAACAGGAAATATAATGTCCAGCTATCGATCTCAAAGTTGAAATTGAGACCGCATGGTCAATGAACATGTCCTTGGATTCACCAAACACTCATTCGAGGTTTCTTTGTATGAAATGTCGCTTAATATCCCTAAAAGAAAAGCATGAGTTTCACATGAAAAGAATTTACAGGACAACAGTTGTTCCAATCGAATGGAAGCCTCATACTACTTTTAAAGATTGACAAGATCTTTGAAAAACTGGGACCTACAGTTTGGCTCTAATTTAGCCAAATAGAAATAGAAATAGAAACTTGACGTGGCACTGCTCTCCAGATCTGAAGAAATCAGAAACCCTAATAAGACTTTTGGATGCCAACAAGAACACCAAATTCGTACTCCTGGAGTGATGATCAAACCCCTTGCCCCAACTCCAAGTCCATCTGGACTCAGATTAGGCGTTGGAAGTAGAATAATAAACACTGTTGGTGTTCCACAATCTACTACTACAAGAAGACCTCTGGGACTACCACAAAACATGCCCACATGCGT